CCGAGCTGCTGGGATGACAGGTGTGCGCCACCTCTCCTGGCTTGGATCAGGGTCATTCAGGTGGAACGGGGAGCTTGAACCTGTAAGTAAATCTGGTAAGAGAGCCGGCGGGAGCAGAGGGACACGGAGAGAGAGGACCACGCACCTCGGAGGAGGAGCCGCCAAGGCCCAAAGCTGCGTCCACACAGGCTGCTGCTCAGCTGGAATGCTCGGGGACCTGGAGTCCCGCTGCCTGGCCCAATGACAGAATGGCCCACCTGACCGCGTCCACCGGGAGCCCAGGGAGACCTGCTCAGGCCTCTAGATCCACCTGCTTTGGCCGGAGCTTCTGGTCGGCTGCACAGGCCACTGGTTGGAAGGCCTTTGGCTGCAGACGACCTCTGACCCCGTGACCATGGTAACTGTGTGGGGGTGACTTTCCAGGACCTGGAGGTCGTCTCTGTTGCGACCACTGACTCTTCACTAAGGCCTGCACAGGTGTCCCACGGGGACCTGGCCTTGGGGGGCCGGAACCCCCCCTCTGGTCACACGGCCTCCGCCGCTGTCTGAGCACAGGAAGATGGATCGCTCCTGTGCAGAACGCTGACTGCCTCCAGCCACTGCCCACTCCTCTGTCACCTGTCGCTTACCCGGGGACGCCCGACCTGGGGGAGGTGGTCACACAGGGCTCTCCCGGGAACAACCTTCTGTTCTTCCTTGTAACGGCAACTGAGTGCTGGTGGCACAGCCTGCTCGGGGGTCTCAGACTTTCCCCAGGACCGGAGCCCATCACCCAGCACTGCTGTCCCCACAGCGGCACCCTGGCCTCTGCCTGGTCTCACAGCAGCCTGGGAACAGGTCCCGGCTTTCACCACGGGGTCACCACGTCGTAGCAGGAGCGTCTCGAAGGCACAAGTGGGATGGCATGTCTCCTGGGCTGAAGGCCCTGAGGACCCCACAGGCCCGTCTCACCCAGGGCAGCCCCCGCCCCATGGAGATAAGGGACATCACCCTGGGGCTGTGTGGGGCTGGGGGACAGTACCATGGCTCCTGACAGAGTCAGAATACCGTGTGACCTAGCAGGTCCACGTGGAGGCGGGCACCTGGAACAAGACAAGTCGGGGCCCAGAAGGACGTGGGCACGTCGCCCTCACAGTGGCTGTTTGCAGTGGTCAGAGGTGGAGGCCACGCGTCTGCTGACGGCTGAATGGATCGGGGGCCGTCCATCCAGAGAGCAGAGTGTTATTCAGCCTTTAGAAGAAAGTAGGCGGGTGGGGTGGCGCACGCCTGTGAGCCCAGCTACCTGGGAGGCTGAGGCAGGGGATGGCCAGTTCGAGGCCAGTCTCAGCAACTTAGCGAGAAAAAGTAAAAAGAGTGGGAGGTGCAGCTCAGGAGGGCAGCCCGGGTTCCATCCCCAGCACTGAAGTGACCACCGTCGTCACAGGAAGAGGGGGAAGGAAGCCTGGCACCCGCGCCACCCGGAAGGACCTCGAGGACCTAGCCACACACAGGACAGGGACCCAGGATTCCACTCGGAGGCCCCGAGGCTTCCGTCCCATCGGCACAGAGAGCAGGAGGGTGGGGTCGTGTTTAAAGGGACAGGACCTAAGTTCAGGGGGGAGGTAAGGATGTTTCGTGGGTGGACCAAGGTGACAACTGCACACCCATATTCAATGTCACTGTGCACCCCAACAGTCAAGATGCTGAGGTTCATGTGCATGTTACCAAAGAGCCCCGCAGCAGCCTCCCACCCAGGAAGAGCAGGGGAGCCTTTCCTTGGAGTCTCTGCTGGACGCAGGGGAGGTGGTCAGACATGGGGGGGTGGTCAGACATGGGAGGTGGTCACACATGGATGTCACCCCACCTCCCCGGCACTCACCCTCTCTGGCCACTGTTCTTTGTGCTGCTCCAGGAGCATGCAACCTCCCTCGGCCTCTAGCCTTGACCATGCTGGGCCTCCTGCACATGGGGCCCAGCTCCTCTGCCACTTGCTGCCTGCGGTCCTCCGGAAAGTCTCTTTCTTGGAGGTGTCGTCCCTGGCTCTGAGCCTGTCCCACGTGGCCCCCTATTTGTGACCTGCTCTGCTTGGCCTTCATGGCTTTTCACCTTAACATAGTACGCATTTGCCTCTGGGAATTCTCTGTCCCCTGCTGGAATGGCAGATCCCGAGGGCAGGGACTTTGTATCACCCCTGTGCCCAGTACTGACCCACTGGGAGGCTTAGCAAGTTGAGCAAATGGCTGGGTGAATGAAGGGAAGAAATCGGCCAGGCAGATGGACAGCCTCTGGACACTGGGCGGACAGCACCAATCGCGACCCACAGGAGA